TTTGAATTGCCACAAAGAGATCGGCATGGCCGATCTTCTTGTAACTCCAGGAATTATTTCTAACATGTGCACTGAGTATGATTATTCAGTTTTCGAAGGATTACGGATTGCGGTACCTGAGGAATGGGAAGGGGGTCTCTCGAGCGTGACATTCAGCCACTGACCGAGATAAGGCTGACTTTGATTATGAGCGCCTCGACTAGTGTTCCCTCCGCCAACGTCGTTATCAAACGACTGATAATGGCGGTGTTTAAATCGGCAGTCTTCGGCACCGTGACCATTGGTGACAATCTGTGGGCGCCTTTCCGTCGTTTCTGGGGTCAGACGTGTAATGCCACGATGCTCGAAGCAAAATTCCACCGATTGCCTTCATATTTTACGGGTATATACTGTCTACGATACAGATCAAGTGTGCCAAATTTGAGATTTATGGGGGAAGATGCGATGGAGATATGCACGAAATACATTCTGGGCCGTCGCTTCTGGGGTCACACTAGTATGGGTTATTGGGTACCAGGGGCCTATGGGTTATGGGGTCGAATTCCCCCTATCCCGACTTGGGAAAGCCAAAATCCTATGGGTTTCGGGAGTTTATGGGTTACCAGGGGTATGGGTTAGGAGGGTGTCGACTGTATCACCTCGGGCTTATAAGTGCTCGGGTGATCCTTTTTCCGATACGCGGTCATCCGAAGATTCCACACGCACGCTAGAAGCTGATGTTGTATCGGAGGCATGAATCGGGAGCTTGCTTCTTTGAGGAGTACACACGTTGTTCCCTCCACTCTTGACTCGAAGAATTGTTCCTCGCAAGCACTCAGCAGCAACGCCTATGTAATCATCGTACTTATCACCGCCATCGAAGCGGGCCGATTATAATCTGTCTTACGCGACCCGCAGTGGCTGTCGGCACCTCAGATGTCAGGACACTGACGTGGGCACACTTCTGGCATTGGATAGCGGTGGATGGACTCGTACTTCAGGCCTTTCCACAAGGCCCTTGTGAGCAACGTGTGATCTTATTCTCGCCTCACCCCTGCAATATATCTCACAGGACAAAAAAATAACCTACCAATTTATGATAATATTTGCAGAGAGGACCGGATGCAACTAGCACCAAATATCACAATATCTTCAGAACCTCGCATGGCCTGGTAGCGGAAAATCAGACCCTCAGTGACGCTTTTCAGGAGTCTGAGCTCATTACCAGTGAGCGGTGTATCTCAGTCCTCCTAGCCTCCTAGCGGATTTCACAAAGGTGATGCTGAGAGCAAGTTGCGAGCAACGATGCGTTTCGAGGCAGCAAAGGCGGCGAGCGCTAACTTCGACGACGTCGTCGTCACCTTAATCTAATCCAATCTCTCTCTAGCGCCAGTGTCGGCATCTATGAGCGTCTAGAAGATATGCAGCTTGAGCCCAACTCTCGTGTATTCTTGTCCTTAGTCCCCGACAAATAATCATTCACGCCCATTCTTGGCAAATGGAACACCCAGAAACCAACAAGTATGGCGACTCAACGACTGATGACGAGGCTGGTTCGCAGACAACAGAAGACGAGGTCCCTGAGCGACAGGCACACGCTGCACCTCCTCCACCACCGCCTGCACCCGCTCCGACCACATCGAGTGGTCGCGAACGTCCTCATTATGAGCTCAGGCATACTATGCGAGGCCATACGTCCTCCATATCTGCTGTGAAGTTCAGTCCAGACGGAACACTTCTCGCGTCTTGTGGTACGTCCGCTCTGTGCACACCTTGCATTATCGGCATGTTCATGTAGGGCTTCTCGAAGCGAACGACAAAGTAGTGAAGATATGGTCGCCTTTTACCGGGGAACTGGTACGGAACCTTAACGGACATACAAAGGGACTATCGGACATTGCGTGGTCTTCGGATAGTGCGAACCTTGCCTCTGCTTCCGACGATCATACTATTCGAATATGGGAGGTGGATACGGTGCGTCCTCCCGTCCGTATGACTCTTGGCATCCCTCATAAGTATGCCACCCCAGGGCTTGACTCAGAAGGTCTTAAAAGGACATACTAGCTATGTCTTCTGTGTGAACTACAACAATGCTTCCAATTTACTAGTCTCCGGAGGATGTGATGGCGAGATCAGGATTTGGAACGTCGAGAAAGGTGGGTTGATGAATTTTCGCCTACCATGTGCAACGCTGACGGGACGTCAGGCAAATGTCTGAAGAAGATACTCGCTCATCTGGACTATGTCACGGCTGTTCACTTCAACCGTGATGCCACCCTGATCGTGTCTTGCTCACTGGACGGTCTAATGTGAGCAAGAAGATTCTCAAGGATGTCCTGTCCTGACGCATTGATCAGCCGCATATGGAATACCACCACCGGTCAATGTCTAAAGACACTCGCAGAGAGTCATGATGCGATATGGTACGTCCGTTCTTCACCGCACACTGTGCATTGTATTCAGGAGGTTGCGCCACAGTCAACATGTTCAATTCTCTCCCAATTCGAAATATATCCTCTCCACCGCCCACGACAGCGCTATTCGCCTATGGGATTACCAGACCTCTCGCTGTCTGAAAACCTACGTCGGACATACGAACCAAAAGTATTGCATCGCAGCATGCTTCAGTGTCACAGGAGGCAAATGGATCATCTCGGGGAGCGAGGACAACAAGGTGTACTTGTGGGACCTCCAAAGTCGAGAGATCGTCCAAACGCTCGAGGGGCACACCGATGTTGTAGTCGCAGTAGCGGTATGCTGATTTAAATGTCATGTGCTCGAGCTCTGACTGGTCATATTGATCCCCCAGACCCATCCACAACAAAATATGATCGCTTCTGGCTCAATGGATTCGGACCTGACCATTCGTATTTGGGCGGACCGTGGAGGTTCCTAGTCGTACTAAACGCCGCATTCTTCTCTGTTTTAGCATTTCTGTCGTTAGTACTCATTATCTTTCCTCGTGACACCTTCCCCTGTATTCATTAGTGTACGACCAGCGGGTTTCATCTTGCGAATACTAGACTGTAATGCATTACTGCTCCGAAAACAGTGCGACGGCGAATAGATAATGCTACACAACTCTTGCAGAGAACCAACACGACGGCGACCCGCTCTATGCCTCAAGGCCCCCATTCCACCGCGACTACTTCACAGGCTCAGCATTGATCAAGTCTAGGGCAGTGCAGCAGTCGTCAGCCCCCGCCTACACCGCACCGAATACAGACAGCGAAAACGTACCTTTCGCAAGCTCTCTCTCCGCCTCCGTCAGCCCCGAATCGTGCGCCTCTAGGAACGCGTCGACCTCGTCCATGACCCCATCGTCCTCCACGTCCGACTCGTCGTCGCTCTCGTCTGACCCGTCCTTTGCGTCGTCGATCGCGAACGGCGTCCGCTCCATGAGCGCCGCGGCGTTCGCCGCAGCCTTGAACATACTCGGCATCGGCGCATACTCGGACGATATTGACGACGGTAAGCCCGAGGGCTCCTTCCCAGGGGAAGTCGCAGCTGTGACGGTGGACGCCGAGGCCGACGACTCGCTTGATGCAAGCGTCGACTCGGTCGGGCTCGTCAGGCTAGCCTTCGAAGTCGAGCGGCGCATGGTTGGCGTAAGGAGCGACTCGCGTGCCTTGGGCTCCTCGAGTGTTGTGTACTTGCCGATTGCAGGTCGAGTGTACACCTATCGATGCCACAGCCAACGACAGATCAGCGGAAAGCCAACACCGCGACGCAGGAATAAAGGGCGCGAACCTGGTGCTTCCCGATCGTCCTGCCGATCTCGTCCGTGAACTTGTTGAAGATCTTTCGATTGTCATCGGTGGCGATGTTCTGCCAGATACCGCCAAGCAGGCCGCTGTTAGAATTCGGCATGTCCATGATTGGCACCGGTTCTAGTCTGAACGTTGCCGAGAAGTCGGTCTCGAAAAATGACTCGAGAATCTCGTCCGCCAAGACGACCATGCGGAATCTAGAGACCTGTCATTCAGACTACCGTCACGTTGAATAAGCTTAAGACAACTTACGTTGCGAGGTTCATATACGGCTGGTTAGACTCAATGTGTGGGACTTCAGAGTCAGGATCCGCTCCTTCAGGCCGCGGTATGAGCGCATCTCCGTACTCGAATGCGTTGGACATGAATCGGCTGACGGCCCCGAGATAAGCATCTCCGACCTCGTTGCGGAAAATGAACTGCATGGCTTGTAAGCTGAGACTGACGTTACTCGCCCCGGTGAACTCACTAGAAGCGACTCGGATAGGGTCAGGACCTCATCCTTTGTTAGGTAGCCGTCCTTGTTCTTGTCATGGAGGTTGAAGAACCATTCGATGTTCTCCATCAAATCGTTGAACATCACGCCATCCAGACCTGACACCAGATTCTACCCATAATATGAGCATATATCAACGATGACCAGCTCAGGCGCTGCGCACCTGGAAGGAAAGAACTCCTCGATATTCGACGTCCCAGAAGAAGAACAATCGGTCGACGAGCTCGTGCTCAGCGATCTCACGGTCCACTCTTTGCTGGATTGATCGTGAGCTTGGTATCCAATTGCGATGCAACGAAACCGACCTGGAAGCCATTTGACACAATCTTCTCCGTCCGCGCCCACGTACAGATCTCGCTAAGGAAGATCTTGAACGTTTTCAGCCCTATCCTCGTCTCCGGCCGCTCCTCCGCCTGATCCTTCGTAGTGAGCAACGAAGGCGGGGGGTATTGAACAGCAGGTGGCGGCTCAATGCAGATCGCCTTGAACAGCGCGTCGTAGATGAGCCCCGCCTGCTCCTTCGTGAACCGCTCCAATGTCCGTAGGTTTCGTATGGCCGACCGTTTGGAGAAGGACTCAATACTATGCACAATCTCAGAGCGGTACTTGCGGCGTTCAGAGTGGATCGTGTCATCGGTGATGACGGCGAACTCGCGGAAGGAGACGAGGAGCAGCTCCTGGAAGCGCGTGATGGCACGGGCTCGGGGGTCACTGGAATTCGGATGCGCGGAGTCGCCGAGAGAAGCGAAGTATTCCCTCATCAGACTGTGGACCATCAGCGAACGCGGGCCTGCAATCGAGGGCATTGGTAACGTACTGGATGAACTGGCCGTCATCCTGAATCTTCAACAGCTTCTCGCCGTTGATTTTGAGGATGGCTAGGGAAATGTTAGCTCCGAGGAAGCGAAGTGATGAACTGAGACATCGAACCAAGGCTGCAGAAGACGGAGACTGTCAGAATGTCTCGAAATTGGGAAGTCAGGAGACCGCTCACCCAACTTGGAAAAGCACCTTCGGACCCATGCAGAAGAAGCAATCGATTATCCGGAAAGCAAACACCATGGGCATGCTATTGATGAACCTGCGTCATCGGGTGCATTAGGGTCGGCCCGGGTTAGGTAAGCGAAAGGAAACCCCACAAACTCAAAAACCACGGAAGGGAAGCTACGGAGAGCTGGACGTCGACTTCTGTGAAGTGGTCGTGTATGACGGGCAGACATCGATGGACGAGGGATTCGAATACACGCTGGTCAAGTAGTGTGCCGTGCATAGACGGGCTGTACAGAAGGTTATTGGCTATAATCATCGAATTCGCATGATCGCATGGTCGTACCTGTAGTAGCCGGGCAGGAGACGATCGCAAATGACCTCGAGTAGCCAAAAAGCTTGCTCCTCTGACATGTATCTATACAGAACTAATCAGTCGGTACACCATGGTCGCCGAGACAACCGACTCACATGAGTATAGCAGCGGCGAGAATATTCATAGCCTGCCAAACGCATCTATGGGCAAGCACGAACTGCTAGAGGACATGACTGAACGCACCTGGCAGTACCCTGTTTCCGGATTCTTGAACGAATACGCTTGGAGTACTCTCCGGAGTGCTCCAATCCCCTCTTCGCTCTGGTATGCCGAGTACTCGGGCAAACTGCGATGCAAATCCTTCTCGATCTCTTCTGTGCTTGTGTTCGTCCGCCCCTCGTTTTCCGCGAGAAGTCGCTCGTAGAAACCAGGGTTCTCAAATCGCAGGTATAGCGACCCGGACAGCGTCTCCCACATCTCTCCTCGAAGCCGATTCGGCAAGCCAACTTGGACTAGACGTGTGCACTGAGGATAGCGGAGGAGCGTAAGGTTGCGTCCATGTGCTATGGAAGGCGGCACCGTGAGCGCCTTGTATCACATTCAAGGTTTCAAGATACGTACTTCGTAGATAATTCGTCCATAGCTTCGTCTTGGAAGCTTCCCGCAACCTATCGCGCATCAGGCGTCCAAACGCGTCCCCGAGCTGACCGGGCTACTCACTTCTTTGGGTCTCCGGGGAACTTGAACTTGAGTCCTAGCCCACCTAGGTACATCGAATCCGATGCAGAACCCTCTTGCGCACTTTCTGCCGTCTTCCCCTCGACCTTCTCATCTCCATTCTCGGGCGCAGTTGCATTGGCGACAAGCATTTCCGAGTAACAGGTCTTGACGAAGGGCTTCACTAGCTTCATGTGGCCTTTCTGCAGCTCGACCTTGAGCGCATCGCGCAGGAGTGAACAGAATAGATCCGCTGTCGGCCGAAGGGAGGTCAATTGCACCACCTAGAAGCACATATAGATCAACGCGTGAGTCGTGTGCGTTGTGGACTGCAACATTTTGGCGTACGTACAATCTTCATGCCATGCCAAAGCGCAAGACTGAGGGCGTAGACACCCGCCCTAGCATTGAGACGCTCCACGCGACGGATGGTACATAGCGGGAGCGTGAAGCGTGCGGACTTGCGGTCGTGCGAGGCGAATGCTAGGTACGGAGGGAGAAGGTACAGCTTGCCTGCCTGCATGCAAACCGGATAGTCGATGTCAGCTTACGCGCGCACTTGTCAACACCCCATTCAATGGACGACACGAGGAAGTGACGATCGAGTACATTCGTGTGTTTCGTTATGCACAGAAGCCCCCTCCAGCATGTTCGTAAGAACGCTCTCCAACTACATCTCACTAGGAGCGTGCAAGTGGAACACTTGGCTCGCAACAGCTGTCTGAGCCACAGGAATACACTCACATACGAATCCTCCTCTCCCTGCACACCCAGACTGAGTACGGCATTGATCTCCATCTTCTCTAGCTCGGGCTCCGGAGGGCCCTTCCCCTTCTCCCCATTGCCACTGCCACTCGCACCTGATGGCCCGCCCGTCGCGTTCACGCCGCCATTCACGCTCTGCGGGAGCGCAAAGTAGAGCTCCGTGAGCTGGTCCTTGGTCGGCTCCTTGAAGTTCCGTAGGTGGGTCGAGATGGTCGACATACTGGCTGTCCTCCCTCAAGTTCAGTGCCCTCCTCAGTGTGAGTGATTCGGAATCGACTTCTCGTAGGACAACCGTTGGACTCGAATATCCAGATGGGCAGTCGAACTGCGTTTGCACAGTATAGCTGCGGCTGAGAGGCGTCAGATCTCTAGACCAAATCGAGACGAGCACAAATGTCGAAAGAGCCACGGTGCATGTGAGAGCACGAGAGACCAAGCCAGCAGTGGTATGTCCTAGATCAGGCGGACACGAAATAGCGGCGAACAGGCTGAGAAGGCGTGTTGTTGGTCACCTCAGACGGCGAGGCTGTGGAGGACGTCCCGGAGTTCGCTCGATCGTTGAGCGCGATGTGCGAGCGCTTCGTCGCCACTCCGATAGGCTTTAGCAGGAGCACGGCAACTTGGAGCATCGTTTACATACAACATCTTCATCCGACCGCGATGCTCGCCTGGGTGACAGACATGCCCTAACCATCGTGGGTGGTTTGTGTACGATAGACTTATGCCTCGATCCTGCCAGATATTCTGGGAACAGCGGCTACAAGAGGCTGCTAGCCTCATTGCGGAAGTCAGCTTGTACTCAGTACTGCGACAAAATGGTAATGATTGCTGGTAAAACATATTGACTTGTTGCTACATAAAAAACACCACGAATAACCTGACCTTGCTATCTAAGTGCTAGAGCTTCTGGAAAAAAATGCGATGTGGATAACTCGTCATGTGGGGAATGCATCAGGGAGCAGGCATGTGGATGGGCAAAATGGAAGATGGCGGCGAATGAGCAAACGCGCCCGGAGAGCGAATGCTAACGGTAAATAGTATAAGCAATAAGACGACCATGGGCGCCGTGCTGTGTATTCTTTCTCGTGCGGGGTCGTATCTTGTCGTAAAGGAAGCCCAGAAACGAAATGCAAAGTGGAGAAAGCGGCGAGGTACGAAGCATCGGTCTTGGATTCAAGAGCGGGACCCGTCTGCAAACTCAGGGTCGATGACGGAAGAGGGTGCAGATCTGGAATGAATCCATGGACACGCCGCTTCCGGAAGACCACATACTAGATGCCGCGAGCCGCGACACGATATCGAAGCTAGAACAGACGAGCGAAGTGGACGGTAGGGCGGAGAGGAGTGGACGCGAACCCGCAGAAATCGCAGGAAACATCGGAGTGGACTAGAGCCCGCGCTTCTGCCTGTATAGCATCCGCGCGCGCTCCATGCTCTCGCGCATCTCCGGAGTTGCCCATGAGGACTCGTCCTCGCGAAACTCGCTCCTGACGGACCGGGCATCGGACTCCACGGACACGCCGCGACCGAAAACTCCCTGCGTCGGCGACGTATTCAGGTAAAGGCTCGAGGATCCAGGGGAATACGGGGGAAGGCCGACGCCATTGCTGCGACTCGACCCGGCCACATTCGGCTTGTCATCCTCCTCGACCCAGGCGCCAGAGCCATCGTCGACCTCGTCAGCCTGGTCCTCGCTCATGATGACGACCTCCTTGCCAAGTGCCTTTTGGCCCTCGGCGATGAGCTGGGCGAGGCGATCTCCCATCCAGGACATCTGATCGTCCACATCCGCGTCCTCGCCCGGCCTGGGGCTTGATCGTGACCCGCTAGCGAAGCTAAACTCAGGAGGTATTGGTGAACGGGAGGCCACGTGAGGAGGCTGGCCATAGTAGTGGGTAGCTGGACCAGAACGAGACGGGGTCTTGCGATGACGGGGGACAGTCCGCCGGCCTGCAACAGGGCGCGACTTCCGCGAGCGAGGGGTCGTAGCAGGCTTGAAGGATGGTGTAGCAGGATGATTGGGAGTCTCGGGCTGGGATGATATGATGAGACTCGAATTGATAGACGTGCGACAAGCAATATACACCTACCTCCGGAGGTACCCATTCCCCTTGTTCATAAGGAGGAGGTGCCAGCTCCGGGTTCCTGCCACGATCTCTCCATCTGCATAGATATTAAATGAGGTGTATCTGCGAAGACAGATAGGTACTTACAGGCGATACACAGTAAGACCAACAGCAGTTCCAATAAGAGCCGCGCTCAGCGCAGTAGAGATAATAGAGCCAGCAAGCGTTCTCCGACGCTTGGGAGGGGGAATGTCTAGGGAAATGTAGAAGTTGAGTTGACAGGGCATGCTGAGGAAGGGTAGCTGAACGCTATCCGTTAAATAGAAGCGCAGCGCGGATACACGCAGGGTGCACGTGTTCGCAACATGGAGGGTAGGAAGGCAAACATGTGCTCTTCTACACGCATTCCGCTCTGTTTTGGCACGAGAAATGAATGCGATGCACACAGCCAAGACAGATAGCGAGGTGAGCGCACCACTTCTCTGCGGATTGCGGTCCGCAGACAAGGATGCGCATCTGCGTCTTCGTGAAGAGCTCACGGCTCGCCATTCAAGACTCCGCCTGCACACCACGATCGCTCTGAGAATTGTGCTCGAACGGCAAGTGGCGGGACAACGCGGGCGTAGAGTTGGCTCAGATCGCTTAGAGATGATACCCAAGATCTGCTCTCAGTTGTACTCCGTACGAAATGGCCAGAGGCGCGGACTGATTATATGCGCGCTGCGCCGCAAAGGATAGAAGAAGAACGAAACAAGGACGGTACATACCGGCTACCATCTCCTCTATCTCCTGCTGATCTGCGGACTCTTGTACCATGTCTCTGTACTTTGCTGGGGTGTCGAGATAGCCACTTGTTGAAGTATGTACCGACGCAGGGCGACTGGGCTCAGAATGAGAAGGGACCCATCCTCTTTTCCTGGATAAGGGAGTTGGGAACGAAGGGGAGGGGGGCCGGCGATTGCGTGTGGCGGAAGCAGGCGGTGGGACGTCGAAGTCCAGTTGAGGCTTGGGGAGAGACGCCTGTCCGGCGTTTGCAGCCGCGGCCTCTGCCTCTGCTGCTGCTGTGAACGGGTTGTTGATGCCAGGGACGGGGAGATTAAAGCTGAACGAGAACGCCATAGCAAAAAGCAACAGCGAACGAGGGGTGCAGTGGGAGGAGCAGGGGACGAATGTCAGGAACGGCCAACCCGCTGAGCTCGCTGCAAGGAGCGTGCACAACACAACCGCGCTCCTCGTGCCACGGGAGGCTGGCCGGTCCCGGCCGGTCATCCTCCGGAGCCCGAGAGGCTTCGGGGAGCAAGGCCGGAGGAAGACGGGCTGCAGGCACGGGAAACGTCCTGCGGAAGCAAATTTTGCCGATCGCAGACCAGCACGAATTAGGCAGGAGGGCGTCAAAGCAAGAAGTACTCCTCCGTTCAATCAGCAGATGGTTGTGGTAAGTTGTAGATTCGCGGTCGCTAGATCAACGACCCTTGCCCTTCTTACGCACCTTCTCTAGGGCGCAGATCCACGATCTCCTGAGACAATCCCATCCGTACATGGGCTGCAGCATGCCTCCGATGACTGAGGACGCCTTGTACAATGGTTGTATAAGACCACCTGCTGTTTGGAAACCGGGCAGTATTCACGTAAACTGTAATACGATTTACCGGTGTCCTGACGCGCTTTCAGAATCTGCGCCGGCGTCCTTCCTTTTCCATATGTGTAGCCGAGAGGAACGGTGAGAACCGGGGTGGCATATTGCGGAAATAACGTCCCTGCCTTACGACCACCCGGCCTTCGACCTGATCTGACAATTTATTCTTCGTCTTCTTCGTCCTTGACGCTTGCTTGGCCTTCTTTGGAATGCCGGGGGTTCCAGCTCAAACACACGCATCTTCCTATCAACTCTACAAGACTCTCCCCGCTCCCCGTTTTCCTTGCCCATCTTGTCCTCGTCCCTGTTCCGTCCTAGGCTCACTCATGCCCACCGTAACGCGCGCAGCCGCACTTACCCTCGATTTCCTCGTGATTGGCGGAGGTTAGTCCACTCCAGTCCCACTTTGATCGGCGCTGTGCTCGACCGCCACCCAGCCGCCACCGTACAAGACCTCTCATCGTTTGGCGCCTCGGTCGATCTGAGTTTGCCACCCATCCCATAGATGATCGACTCTGTGTACTTGTGTGGGTCCACTCAAACTCAATCAGCTAACGACTTCGTGTTACAGGAGTCGGTGGTCTTGCCGTCGCGTACGTCCTCAGCAAGGCGGGGCACCGTGTCAGGGTACTGGAACGACGCGATTTGAACGTCCCCGGCGGCGGGCATCGCGTACCTCCAAACCTCAGCAAGATTCTTCGGCAATGGGTGGGCGAGGAGGAGCTCATGAAGGTATCCACACGATGTGTTGGAACGCCATTCCATCATCGTGAGTCTTCGTCATGTCTCTCTTGCTGTCCTCCCATAGCTTCCTGCACGCATCCATGATTCATTCCTCCTCTGTGTCCATTATTCTTCTATGGTGGGATGGGTCACCACGAGTACCTCCGACCAATATGGTGCAGCACGCGGCGGATCGTTCTCGGCAATGACTGAGACCAGTCCCGTGCCCTTTTCCCTGGTGGTCAGGAGAGGGACATCCACAGCATAGCCACTGTACCAAGCTGTTCGGAGAAGCTCCTACGCTTCGCGATCCACGCTCTTTAAGAAGAGAAGGAGCCCACAGGGCAGATGCAAGTCGTGCTGCATGTGCTCCAGTGGGTTTGACCTCTTTGCCAATCTCCCACCGTTCCTGCTGTTCCTCGCACACGTTCCTCGTCTCCTCGACAGGACCGCCAATAGTAGTCCATGGGCACACTCAGGAGGTTCATGTCCGCAACGGTCTGCGTCATGGTGATCATTGACGTGCATCGCCGGGAAGTCGCAGGCCTGGCAGGGGGGGCCCTGCGTGCTGGCGATGCGTACCGTCGTCCGTGATCGTGGACTCTCGGCCTCTTCCATGGCGAACCTTATGTCAGGTGGCTCCGATGCGATCGAAGCATCGAGTTCCCAGGATCCGATAGGCACGGTGCCGCTACTTCTCGCAACCTTCAACCTTCACGGCAAGGGGCGCTATTCCCCATACTCAGCGGTCCCTTTGCTCACGAACCTCGATGTTCATTCGTATGAATCGCGAACGCGGAGATGCATCCCCGAATCCATGGCATAGCGCCGTATGAGCAATTGGGGTGGGGTTATGGCGTTCGCGTATGTCCCGTTCTAGACATATTAGCAGACGACAAGAGCCGCCGCTGCTTCGTCTGACTGCAATGCAACTCATGGTGTTCGATGGCCCCCAGAAGTGTCTGCCGCCGCTCTCACTTTCCGTTCCCTTCTGCTCGATATGCCCCGTCTGCTCGGGAGCGGTTCGAGGACTCCTGATGATTCAGCTGACTCCCAGTATTGTGCTTCTCCGCCCCTGAGCCCAGATCTAGACCTTCATTACGCCGTAACTTCCCGTTTTTCAGTGGCACTTGTGGCGTTGCAGCGCTCTTACATCAGGAGTCCCGCACACGACGGGGTTCACACTCTGACCTCATTAAGCCTTGATCATGCACATGGTCAGATGCCGGAGAACAGTCGAGTAGCACGAGTATACCGAATCGCATAGCGGCTCGGACCTCTCCTGGATTACTTCATGTCTCGATCCGTTGAGCACCTTTATGCCGATCTGTAGTGGTAGCGTTCATCACTTCCGGCGAAGTTTCTGTGGTCTAAATGATGACTGGCTCCTGCTGGTGCTATCCACGTGTTCGATCACATCCACGTCTAATTTATCAGTCACTAACCACATCTTGACAGTGCGAACGGGAGAGTTGGTTGGATACCTGCACTGGAAACCTGCAGTGATGGCCGAAACAGGGGGAGAATTTCTGCTGATGCATGTGAGTAAGCAGATATGCCTTCTCCCGCGCGCGTATTGCTGATATGCCTCGCCACAACAGCATGACGATATTATCCGGATGCTGTACAAGCTCGCTACAGAAGCGGGGGCTACGATAGACTTCAACACCGAGGTCACGTCGATACAGCAGGGCAGCGACGCGATCCCGAATCCAAGTGTCACACTGGCCAACGGGGATGTTCTGACGGCTGACATCCTGATCGGCGCGGACGGTTACAAGAGTCTGGTGCGGGAAGTGGTGCTTGAGGAGGAAGACAACGCCAAGCCAGCAGGGATGACACTCTACACTGGAGTCGTCGATGCTGAGGGCATGCTGAAGGATCCTGAACTCCGACCATACGCATTATCTGACGAGGTGAGCCTGTGACACGCTGTGCTCCTGCTTTTTTCCGATACTCAACTGTCATAGTGGGCCATCTTCATGGGGTCTCACCGTAGTGTTTGCGGTAAGCGGATCCGTATTGTTCTGCTCGTGTTGACATGCTGATCAGAGTTGCCTTCCCAGGACATCCTGTCGTACGTACCTGTCCGCTGCGCCAACTTCCTTTGACAGTTGATCGTTTCATGATTGCATCCAGCGCGCCAAGAAGGAGTATTTCTTCCACGTTTATTCTTGGCACAATCTGGACGGATTGGAACAGGATGGAGAGGAAAACTGGGATGAGCTGTTCCCAACAGAGAAGATGAACGTGGAGACCCACGGGCCCAAGTACGTAGATTACCATCAGGTCATTCGTATGACCACTACTGACGTCTCGCTTTGTTCTTGGTGGGGCAGAGTGCAGAGACTGATCAAGATGGCGCCGTATCTCATACGCACACGATTCATGTCCCGCAAGGATGGTATCGACGACTGGGCGGATGCAACCGGTCGGATCGTGCTCTTAGGAGACGCAGCTCACCCTTCTTTCGTAAGTACCACCCCCAGCGGAAGCGCCCCCTGCGCCGCCGTCGAGAGCTCGCATCCGCTAACCGTATTACCCAATCAACCAGCCCGGAGGGTCTCACGGCGCAAGTATGGCCGTCGAAGACGCCGTCGTCCTCGGCTCCCTATTCTCGCACTTGCGCATGATGGATCAAATCCCGTCCTTCCTCAGCGCCTACCAGGAGCTTCGTCAGCGCCGTTGCGACCTCGTGAAGCTCGCGGATATCGGAAACGCACAGATGGTGGCAATGCCCGACGGTCCACATGCTGAAGCGCGTGACGAGGATATGCGTAGGCGCAAGGATGAGTGGGACGAGGGCACGCTCAAGGCCCAATTTGAGGAGATCGCAGAGATTTTCCTGTACGACGCCGGCGACGCGGCGGAGGAGTGGTGGGTCAACTGGGGACGGTTCTCGCAGACTGCGCGGGAGCAGCCTAATGTCGTGAACTTCAATAACTTCAACTTCTCAAGCGTCGTCGTGCATGATGACTGAGCTCGCTGAGCATGCTACGCCCGCTGGCGCGCGTGGCCCTCGGGCGCTGGCTTTGTTCGAGTTTTCCCACCTCTCCTTTACGTACCCGACGCCCGGTGTTGAGTTCCAAGCATGCTCCTCCGCTCGCTAGTATCCCGTTATGACACAGCTCCAGGATTTCCGTTCCATCCCCATTTCTGACGTTTCTCTGACTTGTTTGCTGTCCACACTGCTGTATCTCATGTCACCTGTTCACGTATAATACTCTCTTTGCATACGACCAAGCTTACTACAATTCAAGTCTACTAGTATCATCATTATCCCACGCATGTTGCTACAACGTTCACCCAGCCACCTGTTCATTGTGCACATCTGCCCCCTAGTCATCTCAAGCCCGTTCCTCAGGAGAGCTCGTACCATTCCGGTACCCTGCACACATATTGGAAAGGCATACTGCCACAGGATGTTGCGCAGCCTGACTTTCGTCACCACATCGCTCCTTCGTAGTATGTAGGTCGCGTTGAAAAAAGATGCATACAAGACCTCACTTCAGACCTTCGATGACTCTTGATATGATCCCATGTATGTAGCCCCGCAGCCGCGGCAGGCGTACGCGCATAAGTCATTACCGCGGGATAACGTATTCTGGTCGATGGTAATGTCCATACAATGGGTATGTTGCCAAATCAACGTGATTTTCGCAGCATATACGAATACTGATCGATGGCTGAGAGGACCCCCGATTATTCTCCCAAAGGAATGATGCCTGATCCGGACAAAATTGGCCACCCAAAAAGGCCTATGCCTGATCCAATCCGGCCAAATCGACGTTCGAATTCTGGATGGCCTGGTGCCAAAGTCCGGACAAAACTGGTCCAACCAGGCAGAGGCCTGATCCCCGTCCGCCCTTGGGCGGCCCGGTGTTGGATGATAGCTACCCGGTCCTGACCGGTTGACCAACAGTATCGCTCATTGATCACCAAGGCTTGCAAACCGGTGTCGCTATCTCTTTTTCCTTGTATCCCGGAACATAAAGGGACGTTTCTGCATTTCCGGCGGTGAACTGAGAAATTGCGCAAGAAGCGCTGGAGGGCAAGAGGTAGGGCAGCCTGCTGAGTGACAGAATTTCTTGCCTCTCCATTTGCAAGATGACCCCTAGCATACTCTATGTTGTCCAGATTGCCGTAGATCTCTCAAACAAACAATATGGACATTCCCTGAG